TAATATTGTTGTTTTCCTGTAAGGCACATAATGCTGTTTGTTTTGTTTGTGACAAATTACCATTTTTATCCGATTATAGGAAAGTTTTTTTAACATCTCTGTGTTTGCTTGAGAAATATCGCAATACTCGGATAATTATTCAACAAAGGAAATTTAGAAGACAATTTTTTAAATTGGGTTAGAGGATCGAACTGAGATTTTTCAGTCTCACTTAATAATACATCTAGATCTAATTGATCAATGAGATCACAAGATTGGCTTTCTTCCAACAGGAGGGTCAGGTCCCTAAGGGCTCTGAATTCCCTACTGGAGTACTGAGTCTAATCGACTGACTCCGTTCTATTGTCTGATTTGGCATGTGCACACCTAAGGGAAAGTGTTTTGGCAGTTTTGGGTACATAATCTGTTCAGATATTGAAAAGGTCTTACACATGTGGTATCCCCATAATCTGGAGGAGTATTAGAATGTATTTTGGGGTGTAATTCTTGATATGTCCATGCTGTTAGTTAGAAATATCTTATAGATAAGACAACTTTGTGTTAAAAAAATTAATTTTCACTTTCCACATTTTTCACTTGTGGCAAAAAACTTAAATGTTCAAAAGACTCATTATGCCTCTTAGAAAATATGTTGGGGTGTTTTCTTTCCAAAATGGAGTCATTTTGTGAGTGTTTTCATTGTCTTGGTGCTCCAGGGCCTTCAAAGATGTGATAGGTAGTCAGGAAATTAGATGTGTAATTTATGCCCCTAGAACACCTGAAGGTGCTACTTGAATTTTGGGCCTCTGCATGTGACCAAGCCAGGGGCGGACTGACCATTTGGAAACTTGGGCACTGCCCGAGGGCCCGGGGTCAGTAGGTGGCCCCATGAGATGCCCCTGGCCCCATGATTCCCTCTTCCCCAGGGGCCCCATGAGTTGTCAGTCCGCCCCTGGGCCCGGCTGTGAAAAAGTCTCACACGTGGTATCGCCATACTCAGGACAAGTAGCAAAATGTGTAATTGCAAGTATGAATTTGCCATGTGTGAGAAAAAAATTGCTAATATGCCAATTTTGTGTAAAAAAAAAAAAAAAAATTATAAATTTAATTTCTTAATTTTCTAACGAATTGTGGGCAAAAATTACAATTTCAAAAAGCTCAAAATGCCTCTTGCTAAATATCTCGGACTGTCTACTTTCTAAAAACGGGTCATTTGGGGGGTATTTGTACTGTTCTGACATTTCAGGGCCTCAATAAATGAGATAGGCAATTGGTACATCAGGATTGATAAATTTTCAATAATACATAGCTTGTCGACTCTAAATAATATACACTAATTTAAGTTATTTTTACCAAATATATGTAGCACTATATGTTTTAGTCCAAATTTATGAAGAGAAATTTTATAATAGAAACTGAAAAAAATGTTTTTTTTTTTTAATTTTTGCTCTTTTTTTTGCTTATGTCACAAAAAATAAAAAACTCAGGGGTGATTAAATACCACCAAAAGAAAGCTCTATTTGTGTGAAAAAAATGATAAACATGTTGTTTGGGTACAGTGTAGCATTGCTGAGTCATTGTCATTCAAAGTGTGAGAGCACTGAAAGCTAAAAGTTGGTCTGAGCAGGGAAGGGGTAAAAGTGCCCAACACTGAAGTAGTTAACGTGTATCTTCTTTTCCACTTAAAAAAAAAAGTGTATCTTCTTCAAAAACCCTTGATAAAAAGTTAAATGTTAGTAAAAATCTTATGTGCAGTGCCCTACTTTACTGCCCTGGTCTCTGCCATGTTGGGCAGTGTTTATATCCTGTGTGGGGCCAGTCATCTCTTCTGTAGTGTGCAGGTACATCTCCTAGGGCTGGCCATAGATTATACAATTTTCATGTACAATTTTCATTTAGATTTACCAAAACTATATAATATGAGGTCAAACCTAAACACTTTCAATTTGTGTGCAATCAGGCAGACCCTTGCACTACATAGTTGAAGGTAAATATAAAGGCAATTGAATGAGAATATTATGTTAATTTGCTTGGTGCATATGCAGTATGGCTCTACATTCTAAGAGTTCCGCCAAAGAATTACAAGTCCCTTCACTGGTAGAACAGTATATACTTAATACAACTGCGTCTTTTTATGTTTGCCTGTAGTGCCCAGTATTTTTTAGCATGTACAAAGCTGTCCACCATACTGCCCCGAACTACATCACTGACCTAATATCCAAGTACCGCCCAGCACGCACACTCCGCTCCTCACAAGACCTCCTTCTCTCTAGTTCCCTGGTCTCCTCCTCCCATGCCCGCCTCCAGGACTTCTCCAGGGTGTCACCCATCCTCTGGAACGCCCTGCCCCAACCCATCAGATTATCACCTACTCTCCTCTCCTTTAGGCGCACCCTGAAAACCCATCTCTTCAGGGAAGCCTACCCCACCCCCTGCTAACTTGCCGACCTCCTCCACTCTTCCTACCACTCCATCCCCCACAGCTATCTCCTCCTGTGCCACCATCCCCTCCCTCCTAGATTGTAAGCTCGAAAGAGCAGGGCCCTCAATCCCCTCATGTTTTGCATTGTATTGGTATTGTTCTGTCACATGTTCTGTCCCCCTTTGTAATGTACAGCGCTGAGCGAACTATTGGCGCTTTATAAATACTGTATAATAATAATAATATTATTTTGTTCATATGTATAACTCTGATATTGTGCAGATGTAATGAATCAAAAAGCCAAGAAGAGGTGAACAGACAACTCCAAGGTAGAATACAAGAACTAGAGACTGCCAATGGGGTGCAAGAGGAAATGTTGAAGCAGGCTCATGCCTACATTGACATTCTAAAAGACATGTTGCAGAAGCGGGATCATGTACACCAGGATATTCAGGGAACCATTTTAACATACGTCAAAGCTTCTGGAAAGGAAATAATTCCGACCTGTGATTTCAGTAACCTTGGAACATTCGTAGTGAAGGTCTATCAGGAGCTGGCTGATGAAGTTTCTTCTCTCAAAACAAAACTTCACACTGTAAGTCAACCAATTGATAGTACTAATAGTACTAATAAATTTTAAATGTCATCATTTACTAAATATTATATTCGAAAGTTTTTTATATGCAGATCACTGCTTATGCAAACACAGCATTAGGAAGACCTCTTTTTGAAGACGTGTGTTCCCCTTGTGTGTGTGAATTTATTATTTATCTATATGTACTGTATCTCTGTATGTGTAAAAAAACTAAACAAGAAACTTATGTCAGTGCTCAACTGCAAAGGGGTCTAAAAGTCTATATCTGCCAAAGTTCAACTTTTTGGCACTTAGGCCTTGTTCATATGGGTGACTACTTGCAATGTTTTCCCGACACGGGGATGTACAGATGTTACGTGCATCCTTGTCTTGCAATCTCATAGATGTTGCACCCATATGGATGTCACATTGGGACACAGCGGCTGTGTCCGTGCAGGACTTTTCCCAATAGACCACAACATGACCGTCACACAGGGCACACAAGTAATCACCCATGTGAATGAGATCCTAATGTAGTATGGTAGAAAAACATTCACTTCCTTGCAGCTCTCCAGACCAGGGAATCCTCAGAAAGGTTGTAATTAAAACAAAGACTGCACTGTGTAAGCTCCTCAAAAATCTTAAATTGGTTAAAATAAATATAATGTACTTACAAAAGTACTATTTAGACATGTTTCTTATACAATTTCCATAGGGAACATCTCATTAACCAATACATGCACTTGTACATTCATTAGTTCTTTATTCAAAGAATGGATGCTAATATACTGGCTAACACATTCCGATGATAAACCTCTTTATCAGAACCAACTCACCAGTACTAGGAGAGCCTTTAAATACACTCTTCATCTCCCTGAACACTTACAAAGGCCATTCCCACTCAATTAGCATGCAATAAAATTACAATTTTAGAGCCTAAATTGACATCATATATTTCTTTTTTTTTCTTGTATCACACAACCTACAACTGCATATCACTATGTGTCTGAGAGCAACATTAATTAAAAAATTATATATAATGCACTTTATGCAATAAGAAATCTGTGATGTATTCCAAGCCTAGCAATATCCAATAACTGACATATGCCATATACATTAATGGTCATATGCAATATGGGATGCTGTTGTAAACATAGGTGCTGCACAAACCATTATATGTAAATGATATCCCATATGGAACAATACCTCTCACATTAACGTGTTTGCATTACCACTTCAGACGCCCAATCTGTGTTCAATATAGTGGCTTCCCATAGTGCATATGACAATTAATATGCGGTTGCTTTATTAGGTTGTAAGATACAAGAAAAAGAAATGAAATATATTATGTCAATTTAGGCTCAAACATTGTAATTTTATTATATGCTAATTGAGTAGGGGTCACCTTTGGAAGTGTGCTGGTTAATGAAGAGGGTATATAAAGGCATTGTACAGCTGGCTATAATGTAGAGGCTTGTCCTCAGAGTGAATTAGCCAGTATATTAGAGTTTGTTCTTCAAATAAAGCACTAGTAGATACAAGAGGGCATTTATTGGTCGATGAGATGTTCCTTATTCAAATTTTATAAGAAATGTGTCTCAGTAACACTTACGTAAATTCAATATATATTTTAACCATAAATAAACAATTAATTTACTGTTTTATATATTTATATATATTATATATATATATATATATATATATATATCACAGCAGATGTGTTTTGTTTTGTTTCTATGGTCTTTTACAGTGTTGAATATGTACATCATTGAATATCCATAGCCTGACCGAGACACCAAACATTGACTGCAGTATTTTGCTTCCCTTAGACTGAAAGCCATCTTAGTGTTTTAAACAAGGAATTAGAAGATAAAGAGAACAGTTTAAAACAGTGTCAGGAGAGGTGAGTTTTATTATTATTGATAATGAATGCAAAACTCATGTTTGTTCCCTTTTCTTCTTATCTTTTATGCTAATAATTATGAAGATACTAATACAATGTTACTTTGTTTTCTTCTGACTTTAGGTGTGATAATTTAACTAACAAACATGAACAGGAGATGGCAGCAAAGAGCCATGAAATGAACACTGCTAAGAGCCAAGCCAAGACTATGCAGAATCAGCTGAAAAACGTTCCAGTATTTATTAATTTTTTTTATTATTATTATAATTATTTTTTTTTTATAATACAGGATTTATATAGTGGCAACAGTTTGTGCAGCGCTTTACAAAATCAAAGTAGACATAACAGTTACAATACAATTTGGTACAAGAGGAAACAGAGGGCCCTGCTCATTAGAGCTTACAATCTAGGAGGAAGAGTTGACTGATAGAAAAGGTAATAGCTGTGGGGGGGATGAGCTGATGAAGGAAATAAAAGACAGTTTACTTAGAAGCAGGATAGGCTTCTTTATAGAGAACGGTTTCAGGGATCATGTAAAGGTGGATAGATTAGGAGATAGTCGGACAGATTGGGGTAGGGAGTTCCATAGGATGGGAGAAGCTCGGGAGAAGTCCTGGAGGCAGGCATGGTAGGAGGTGACAAGGGAACTAGAGAACAGAAGGTCTTGGGAGGATCAAAGAGAGTGGTTTGGTTGATATATTGAGACCAGGTTAGTGATGTAGCTGGGGGTAGAGTTGTGGATGGCTTTGTAAGTTGTTGTTAGTATTTTGAATTTTACTCATTGAGAGAGTGGAAGCCAGTGGAGGGATTAGCAGAGAGGGGCAGCAGACACTGAAGAGTTGGTAAGGTGGATGAGCCTGGCAGCAGTATTCATGATAGACTGGAGGGGGGATAGCCTATGTAAAAGTAAGCCAATGAGGAGGGAGTTGCAGTAGCCGAGGCAAGAGATAACCAGGGAGTGAAATAGGAGCTTTGGTTAAAAAGGGGTGTATTCTGGAGATGTTGCGGAGGTTGAGGCGGCATGATTTGGAAAGGGATTGAATGTGGGCCTGAAAGCATAGTTCAGAATCCAGGGTTACCCCTAGCACTATGGCATGCGGGGATGGGTCAATAGTGGTGCTATTGATTCTGACCGAGAAATCAGGGGAAGAGGCACGTGGGGGAGGAAATATTATGTGCTCAGTTTTGGATAGACTGAGTTTTAGGAAGTGGTGGTGTGACATCCAGTCTGATATGTCTGTCAGTAAATTGGTGATACGTGAGGAGTTGAGGAGTAGAGAGAGACAGATTTGTGTGTCATCAGCATAGAAATGGTATTGGAAATCATGGGAAGCTATCAACTGACCCAAGGAAGAGGTGTAGATTGAGAATATGAGAGGTCTAAACACAGAACCTTGGGGGACCCCGACAGTAAGAGGAGTAGGAGAGGAGGAGGTAGAGTTGTAAGTGGCACTGAAGGTGCTGTGAGATAGGTAAGATTAAAACCAACGGAGAGTACAGTCACGAAGACCAAGTAAACAGAGTTTTTTGAGGAGGAAGGGGTGGTCAACTGTGTCAAAGGCAACGGAGAGGTCCAAGAGTAAGAGTACGGAATAGTGACCATTAGTTTTAATGGTTAGCAAGTCGTTTGTGAATTTTAGGACAGCAGTTTCTGTGGAGTGTTGTGGGCGAAATCCAGACTTAAGTGGATCAAGAAGGTTATTCTCAATAAGCTGACAGCTCAGCCGGTTGTAGACTAGACGTTCAAGGAGTTTGGAGGCAAAGGGGAATAAGGCGATGGGTCTTAGGTTGCTAAGATTGGTGGGGTCTAGTGAGGCCTTTTCAAGTATGGGAGGTGACTAGCGCATGCTTTAGAGAGTTGGGGAAGATGCTAGTAGAAAGGGAGAGATTGAAGATATGAGTTAAAGAGTGAAGGATAGAGCCACAGGGTGACCGTAGTATTTGCGAGGGAACAGGGTCCAGAGGACAGGTGGTTAGGTGGGCTTTAGAAAAAAGTTTACCAACCTCCTCTATAGTAGCTTGGTTAAACAAGGGAAGTATATATTGTGCAGGTGGACAAGGAGTGTAGGGTGAGGGAGATATCTGTACAGTGGAGATCTCGTCACAAATTGTATCAATCATATTTTTGAAGTGATTAGCAATCTCCTGGGCAGTGAGTGAGTTAGTGAGTGGAGGTAAAAAAGGATGAAATAGAGAGTTAAAGGTAGAAAAGAGTTGACGGGGATTGCATGAGAGGGTGTTAATGATAGTGATAAAATAGGTCTGTTTGGCAGTGTGGAGACAGGAGCTGTATTTTTGAAGGGCAGATTTATATTTTTCGAAGTCTTGCTTGGTCTTAGTCTTACGCCATCAATGCTCCAGAGCACGGCTACAATTTTTTAGGCATTTGGTATTGTCTGTTTGCCAGGGACAATGTCCACGATGGATGACAGTGAACTTTTATAGACAGAAGTGGCCAGGTTGGGGCAGGACAGGGCTGAGATTTTGTCATAGAGACAATCTGTTGCCAAAAAAAGAAGAGAGGGGCAGGGGTGGACTGACCATTTGGAAACTCGGGCACTGCCCGAGGGCCCGGGGTCAGTAGGGGACCCCATGAGATGCCTCTGGTACCTTTTTCATAGGCTTTTTGAGTTTGATCAAGGACACAGGGATCCCATGATCCCCTATTGCCTGGGGGCCCCATGAGTTGCCAGTCCGCCCCTGGAGAGGGGTTAAGATAGCAAAGGTTTCTACGGGTAACTGTTTGGTAGTTGCAAGACGAGGAGGAAGCCAAGGAGAGAGTGAAACTACTAATTAGAGAGTGATCAGAGAGAGGAAAAGGAAAGTTGGTGAGGTTGCAAAGAATGCATAGGTAGGAGAATACAAGGTCGAGGAGTTACCATTGGAGTGAGTAGAAGCATGTGTCCATTGTTTTAGGTCAAAAGAAGTGGTTAGGCTTAGGAGTTTAGAAGTAGCAGGAGTGTTAAGATTAACAGGGATGTTGAAGTCACCAAGAATTATTGTAGGAATTTCAGAAGAGAGAAGATAAGGCAGCCAGGCAGAGAAGTCATCAAGGAAGCTTGATATTGGTCCAGGAGGCCGATAAATCACAGCAATTCTTAAAGAAACTGGGGAGAATAGACAAATACAGTGAACTGAAAATGAGGAGAGGGACAGAGAGGGAGGTGCATGAAGGACCTTAAAAGTGCCTTGTGGGGATAGGGGGATTCCAACTCCACCTCCTTTCCATCCACTAGGCCTGGGAGAGTGAGTCCAGAGGACACCACCATGGGAGAGGGCAGCAGGAGAGGGAAAGTCAGATTCATGAAGCCAGGTTTTTGTAATTGCAAGTAGGTTAAAGGAGTTTGTGATAACAAGGTCATGGACAGAGGTGAGTTTGTTAAAGACAGAGCGGGCATTCCAAAGGGCACAGGAAAAGGGGAGGCTGGTTCGGTCTAGGAAGAAGAGGAATAGCAACCAGATTGTGTGGATTGCGACCGCTGTTAGAGGATAGGGTGTGCCGGGTGTATTGGTCAAAGGAAAAAGATGGCGGTCCAGGATTTGGGAAAATGTCTCCAGATGTTAGGAGAAGCAGAAGGGTGAGAGAGGTAATATGAGAGTATGACTTATATGGAGGGACAGGTCCCAGTGTCCTGGATGTTTTATTAGTATGTGGGCTCAGATTAGCAGAAGTTGATGAGTGCAGGAATAAGGTGAAGACAGGAGTGAGGGTGATATATATAAGCTGTGGGGTGGAGAAGAGGGGTGAAGGAGAGAGAGTTTAAAGAGAAAGGATATAACTGTGAGAAGGAGGAGTAGGGAGTGCATGTTACAGAGTGGCGAGATGAAGAAGCAGACTGGGTAAGAGCTGAAAGAGCTGGATGGGAAAACAGGTCATCTGCAGTCTGTTTAGTATTTGAAGTTGTCTTCTGTGGCTTCTCGCTTTGTGCATTTACTGAAGTGCAGAGCCGAAGTGCAATGCTCAATACTTAAACCAAGATCAATACTTTAGCCAAGATGATAGTTACCAATGCTACCCCTGGCTGTGACTTCCCTAAGGAAGGCCTACATTTATACTGAGTTGGGTGGGGGTATTGACAATTAATCAATTAGGAATGCATAGCAGAGACATATGGCTAGCAGGGCAAACGTCTCATGCCAAAGGAGGACTACAAGAGACAACAAGAGAGCAGGAGGGCAGAGTTGTAAAGATTAGGATCAGCTCATAAATTTGGGTTATACAATAAGAACAAAATAAACACCACAGTAATATGGACAGAGTTAGAGATTTTGGAAGCAGTAAGAATTACCAATAAAAACACTGATAGTTATGAATCAGCTTCAGTCAGAGGTGGATTTTAAAAGTAGTATAGATTACCATATAGCAGTGCAGGGTGTGTTCACATTCATACATGGCACGGGTGATAGTACAGATGGATATTGCTCTCAGACATTTACCATATAGCAGTGCAGGATGAATTAGCATTCATACATGGCATGTGTGATAGTACAGATGGATATTGCTCGCAGACATTTACTTTAGCCAAGATGATAGTTGCCAAAGCTACCCCTGGCTGTGCTGCCCCTTTTAATGACAATAATATTTTTATTTATTTTATATACCCGTTTTAGTTATTAAAAAGAGAACCAAAATGTCAGATGTTTAAGACACAAACACATGTAAAATAAAAAGTTTAATTAAAAATCATTTTTAGAAAATTCATAACGTTTGGTGTATCAAGTTCTACAACTTTTGATTGTACACAGAGCAAAAATATATGCCTGCACTATCCCTCACTTTCCCACTGACCACCTATTAATCCCAGAAAATATCATACTGTGAATCTCAATATTTCTCTACATAGAAAAATTTAATTTATTTATGGTGGTGGATCCCGGTAAGTCAGTGGAGCAAGGACAGAAATATCTCTGTGTACAGTCCCATTGAACTTAGGGCTAGGTCAAATGTTCCCTCAAGGGAATTTGAAGTGGAAATAAAAGCAAAATCTAACTAAATCTAAACCTACTTTCAGCCACATTCTAAACCTAATCTACCTAGCCCTGTAAAGAAAAAAATTGCTTTACGTACCTGTTTTCTGCAGCTGCTCTGGTCCCCGGTTGAACTGTTAACTGGTGTGCAGAGAAGCAGTTGACAATGGAAGCCTCATAGTATGTGTATGGGTGACTTCACTTCCCAGGCATTTGCCAGCCGTTGTCAGCTTTCTCCTGCTTTCTCCTGCACACAGAGCACCGCTAGAGACTGGACCGGAGCAGCTGCAGAACAGGTAAGTATAGCGATTTTTTATTTACAGGGCTTGATAGATTTGGCTTAGAATGTCTCTAGGCTTAGAGTTAGTTAGGGTTTGCCTTTATCTCCACTTTAACCCGTTCGCCGGGTCGTACGGACCTGACAGCAGCAGAGTTTAAACACAATCTGATGGCTGCAGCCACTGGGATTGTGTATTAAACTGACAGGCAGACCTCCTCCCTAACACCAAACTGCTGACTTATAGGGGCTTTTGAAGCATCGGCTATAGAAAATATAGGGTACTGAAGTTTGTCACCATTTCATAGGCACATGCAAATTTAAGGTTTGACATGTTGGGTATCTATTTGCTCGGCGCAACCTCATCTTTTATATTTTACGAAACATGTGCGTAATTTATTTCGTTTGTGTGCCCTAGAATTAACTTTAGTGTGTTTTTACTGAAATGTTTTGCGGTAATATCGTGTGACATAAAAAATTGGAACTACACTATTTTATTTTCTAGGGTGTCTGCTTTCAGAAAATATATAATATTTGGGGATTTGTGTGTAATCTCTGGGCCTGAAATCATTTTTAAATGTGTGCAAAAAAAATGCAAAAACGGCTCTGGCAGCAAAAGGGTTAATAATTGTTGTATTTTTGTACCTTTTGGCTCTGACATTTTGGCTCTCTGTTTAAAAATGATGCATCATTGTGGATGTTACATCATGGCCAACCACATATCTATGTTTAAAATGAAACCATTTGATATTTTATTTCTCAAAGTGTGCACTAAATAAAATGTTTAAATTATTAACAATTCTTTAGCATAGTTAAAATGTATTTCCAGACAAAAATGTTTTCTTCTGTCAGGTTCCTACTGGTGTTTTGACTTCCATTGGGGAGATTTTCTCTGGCTTCCTGTCCTGGTTAGTCTTCAACAGGGACACAGACAACAGCAAAAACTCTTAGCTTTTTGTAGACTAGAGGAAGGTTAGAACTCTTGCCTGCTTTTCATTTCTATCTGTGTTTCCAATGCAGAATTTCTGTAACTTCCTGTTTGGAAAAAACCTTGCCACTAGAGCAGGAACTGAAGGAAAATCTCAACAATGGGCAAGAGAGAAAAACCTAAGAAAAACCTAAGGGCCTGTTCACACCAATGAGCCACTCTGCTCTTGTGTGCTGTGGGACAGTGATAGTGTGACATTACCGGCACATTTAACTGTTTACTTTTTTTGTTTTATAGAACTTTATTTAAATGTCACAAGTGACATGGTGTTCTAGAACAGTGGTCTCCAAACTGCAGCCCTGGGGCTGGATGTGGCCCTTTGCTAGCCTTTATCTGGCCCTTTAGGGCATAATTCCTGCCACTAACATCAACCATAGGGCACTATTAATCCCATTGATGCCAACATTTTGACATAATTCCTTCCATTGACACCAACAATCAGGCACTTGTCCTTCTACTGACACATATGAGGAGGCACTATTCCTCCAACTGACACCAATGAAGAGGCACTATTCCTCCAACTGACACCAATGAGGAGGCACTATTCCTCCAACTGACACAAATGAGGAGGCACTCTTCCTCCAACTAACACCAACGATTGGGAACTACTACTCCCCTAATACAAAAGATGGGACATTGTTCACTCCCACTGAGCACAGTCTGGACCCCCTAAAGTCTGAAGGACAGTAAACTGGCCCTTCCTTTAGAAAGTTTGGAGATCCTTGTTCTAGACCATTTAGGTTTTTTTATTCATATCTTTGTTTCCACTGGGGTATTTACCTTCTCTGTTTGTCCCAGTAACCATTGTCCCTAGGACAAAACATTTGGGGTAAATCCAAAACTGGAAGTTGTGACTGGAAAAGGAATAGATGGGGATTCTTGTAATGATGACACCTATTCTGGAGACACTTGTCTAAGTGGGCATTTCTTTCACTTTGAATAGATTTCCTCTCACTTCCTGTTGTGCCTATAGGACAGGAAGTAGAGGAAATTCTCCCCAATAAATGGAAATAAACCCTGACAGTTGTTTTAGCTATTGCCTACTGTATTCAAAATGATGAGTTTCAAGTACTACTAATAGCTTTCAGCTCTCATTTTGTTTGAAATAATTTATTTTTAGGCAACAGAACACAGAACATAAGGATCATATAGCAAACCTGGAATCTGTAATGTCTGAACAACGCTCTGAGCTAAGAAGCTGCAAGAGAACTTATAAAGACAAGGTTAGAGTACAAATATGTTTGTAGGACACTAAAAGACTTCTTTCAGGGTGGCAGGCTCTGAAAAGCAATCTGTGGTAGAAAGTTTTTCAGATTACGAATTTAAGCCAGTTTGCAGGCATTCAGAAAGCAATATTGGTTCACCTGGCTTTTGATCCCAAGGATACTTTAGGCTATAGCGGCATTCGGTGTATGGTTGAGAGGTGGTCCCATTGACTTTAACGAGTGCGTTTGGAAAGCGTAATTCCTGCCCAATCACAAGAGGCTGAGCTAAAGCCATGCAAACGCACTAGTCTGAACTGCCCCATTTGGCAGTAAGGTAAACAGCAAACGTACGTGTCAGTACTGTACTGCAGTGTGAATACTTGTTTTTTACTGTGGGCCTCTGCCAGTGTGAACTAAGCCTTAGGGCCCTTTCACGCTAATCCGTTTTTGATGACCGCTAGTCACCGGTCAGCGAATTAAAATCCACAAGATTTGTGTGCAATTTCAGCACACTTTCTGGTGCGATTTCTGAAGACTTTATGGAAACTTGTGAAGATTTTTAATGATTTCTTTGCATTTGCTTTGCGATTTCCATTATATTCTATGTATGTGAAATCACAATAAACTGCAGAAAAAGCAATGCAAGAACTACTTTAGAAATCACACTGCAGCAAATCGCACATGTTAAGACACTGACATTCACATTCATTTGATGCGATTTCAGGTGCAATTTCAATTCAGAAATCACACCTAAAATCGCACGGTGTGAGTGTTTAAAAAATGGAACAAGAATGCATAAAAAAATGTATTCCTTTAAATCCTATGGAGCTCTTTACATCAATGTGCTGTGGGTGAAGTGTATTTTTAAAGATCCTGCATGCTGCATTTTAGGTGCATGTTTAAAAAGCATCTCCCCATTGAAATGAATGGAAAATGCATCAAAAACACACCGTGATTGTGTCTTTGGTGTGCTTTTTAGGCCACACGTCCATATTTCACAGGTGCCTAATTGGAGTCTGGCAACCAGAAAAAAACACACTGGAAACACACCAAAAAACACAACAAAGACACATATGCGTTTTTACTGCATTTTTTCAATGGAACAGTGTAAAAAGGCCCTAAGCCCTGTTTCACACTGATGCAACTGTTCAAATTGCATGACAAATCACATCCAATGATCAGCAATGGAAATGTTGTTGGTTATGTGTTATAGAAGACACTGGTAGCTTATGATGAGGCAGAACTTGGTTTACTTGTGTGGCTTAAGTTGCAACAGCAGACTGTAACAGCAGACATCTTGGTTTTAGAAGAGAGAGAGAAGAAAGAGAGAGAACCAACAAGTTTTACACATATGCACAACTGGTAACCTTAGTGTACAGTGCCATCTACTGGTCAAGTGATATTAACACACAATACTATATAGTACATGCTGCTGCATTCCCAACAAATGTTCTAATCGGGGTGACTGCAAATTTGTTGGAGTCGCACCTATTTGAAAAGTAGTTCCTGCCTGGAGTTCTTGTTTCTGGAGTCGCACCCGAAGTCGCATTGACATGTGACTTTGAAATCATGTGACTTCAAGTGAAGTCGCATGATTTCTAATTCTCATGCAGTGTGAACAGGGGCTTAAGGTTATGCTACAGCATCTATTTACCAAACAGATAGATGTTAAATGTGACTACATTCATGTAAATAATAAATACAGTACATGAAATAAAATGACAAAAGCCTCTAAAGCAGGGATAGGCAACCTTAAAGAGGTGGAGATCTATCTGAACAAGTCAAGTAGGTCCAAGTCAAAGATCACTGGGCACAGTGTCGGACAGTGTCATCTTCTCACACCTGATTTAAACCTCTAATTGCAATACTAACGTGTCACATTCGCATGCTTTGCAAGGCAATCACCACCTGTCAAACACACTCGGATCACTTTTCAGAGGAGCACTAGTGTCTGCTGCACTTGTAAATGATCCCTTAGTTGCATCCGGCAGCGGCACTCATAGGGCTCGAGCACATGTAAAATTGGGGGCAGCAGCCAAAGGTATACACAAGCCGCATCAGGAATTACACCCCCCGGCTGCTTTTGGTATGTGCTACCGCCTGTTTGTCGAGACCCATTCTAGTAAATGGGGCCATTCTGCAAGTGCCCCACAACTGTATGCTTCTGTGGGGTCCAAGGGGTTAAAGCAGGTGGTGAGAAAGCAACACACCGCTGCCTATTTAACCCCTTGTTTGCTGTATTGCACACAATTCCAGGGCGTTTGCAGAGTGGCCTCATTTACTTGAATGGGTCATGTTTGGCAAGTGCTACACCCACCAACCATGACAAGGTGTAGATGCCAGCACTATGGAAGAGACATCAACTTATGCAGCTCTTGCTCCCTACTACAGCTGCAACTTTACAAGTAGTCCCTCTGCATTGCACTCTGATGCTCTGGAATGGCAGGTCAGCAAGCCGCCCTGACCATGATCTACCAGTCACGTTGTGACCAAGATCTACTGGTTGCTGACCCCGCTCTAAAGGAGCCTCTAATATACAGTACAATGAAAAGGCTCTTATGCTCATACAAAGTAAATACATAAATAATAAAAATAAAACATACAAGCAAATGTTTCTATTTTGTTTATGCTGTAGAGTTTTTAGGCTATTTAGGGATTGCAAGAGTTAAATATGGCTTGATAGTGCAGTGTTTTGCTGTAAGGCATGCACTTCCGCCTGGCAGCACTATGGTCATCGATTCAAATCCTGCCTGCATGGGTTTCCTCCGGGTACTCCAGTTTCCTCCGACACTCCAAAGACTTGCTGGTAGGTTAAATGGCTCCTGCCTAACTTGGCCTTAGTATATGTATATAAGAATGTAAGTTAGGGACCTTAGATTGTAAGCTCCTTGAGGGCAGGGACTGATGTGAATGTACAATATAGATGTAAAGCACTGTGTAAATTGTCTGCGCTATATAAGTACCCAAAATAAAAAACAGATATAAAATGATTACTAGTCTATTTCTGCCAGGTGATGAGCTGTTATTTAATTCTCAGCCAACAGATCTAGACAGGAAATTTAGGAAATTTTTGTTTAGTTTCTTTTCAGATCGATCTCTCCCGGTAGGAACAATTGATATATAGTCATCAGCTCATTCAATCAATATGCCAAACATGGGGAAGTGAATTTAAATCGATATATAAAATATGATCAGAACTTATGCATCTCTGTTTCCACCATGTAATCTTACAATTGGATCGACTGAAAAACAATCGTATTATTAACAAAGTATCTCAGTGTGGCTGATCAATGCAAATTGATCGATAACTTTCCACCTTGGCCAACTCATTTTGAATCCAATCTAAATGGAGTCTAAATCAGTCAGGAAGGAAGTTATGGTTATTTGACTGTTTGCAGATTCAATTGTTTTGACCAAATATGTACATCAGTCAAAAAATAAAATTGAAGAATGTGTGGCAACCAAAAGGTCGAATTTACACCAGGACAGTGCTCTGTGGCTGAGCTGTATAAATCTCAGTACCAAATTCTTTGGCAGGTAAAACAGCTTTAAATGCATTTATTGTGTGCATTTAGCTGTTTGCCTGGAGTTCGCCTATAACATGCGTACTTGGGCATTACGGGCATGCATGCTTAGGAAGAAACTGATGCCAATCATAGGATAGTCTACCTATCTATGCCTGTAGGTCCAGCTGTTATCTAGGGTCTTTGTTCGCGTTTATAAATTTGTGGTTCCAGGGATCAAATCTCATTAGTCACCTACACTAAAGAGAGATTACTACCTGTGCACCTCATCCAAAATATTGTATAGCCTCAACATATAAAATAAAAAATATATATATGTACAAACTTTACTGGTACAAATGAGATTATGCTATGATTTTTTTTTTTTTTTTTTTAAGTAAACAAAATTGTTTATTAAATTATTAAAATACAAATAGACCACTTGGATCCTACAGATTCCTAAACATCTACCATAGCCAGAGTCTCCTCATAGCTCATTACCATGTCCCATTTATGATCCAGCCGAGGATCAGATATTATGGTGGTGGCTAGATACAGAAAGCAACTAATTAGATTGCTGCTTCAGAATCTTTTCCATATTTTTGAAAACTTGTTAGAGAAACAATCACATACCAATATATACAGTGCCTTGAAAAAGTATTCATACCCTTTGAAATTTTCCACATTTTGTCATGTTACAACCAGAAACGTAAATGTATTTTATTGGGATTTTATGTGATAGACCAACAGAAAGTGGCACATAATTGTGAAGAGGGCGGAAAATGATAAATGGTTTTCAACATTTTTACAAGTAAATATGTGAAAAGTGTGGCGTGCATTTGTATTCAGCACCCCTGAGTCAATACTTGTAGAATCACCTTTCACTGCAATTACAGCTGCAAGTCTTTTTGGTTATGTCCCTACCAGCTTTGTACATCTAGAGAGTGACATTTTCCTTCCACTTTAAAACTGTGTATCACTTTGTGTTGGTCTATCACATAAAATCCCAATAAAATAAATTTACGTTTTTAGTTGTAGCATGACAAAATGTGGATATTTTCAAGGGGTATGATTACTTTTTCAAGGCACTATGTATATTGGTATGTGACTGTTTCACTAACAAGTTTGAAAGACAACACTTTAGTGTATAGATATAAAAAAATATAAATACCTTTTTTTCCTTATTTTATAAGTGATCACATTCCCTCTGTTCTCAGGAAATGATAGGAAAATGATAAATGGTTTTCAAAATTGTTTACAAATATCTGAAAAGTGTGGTGTGCATTTGTATTCAGCCTCCTTTACTCTGATACCTCTAACTAAAATCTAGTGGAACCAATTACCTTCAGAAGTCACCTAATTAGTAAATAGAGTCCCCCTGTATGTAATTGAATCTCAGTATAAATATAGCTGTCCTGTGAAGCCATCAAAGGTTTCTTAGAGAACATTAGAGAACAAACAGCATCATGAAGGCCAAGGAACACACCAGAGAGGTCAGGAATAAAGTTGTGGATA